ATTAAATACATGCATTGATATCCATATCTTACTACTCTGTGAAAGTGTGTATCTTATGCACAAATGGAAGCTGTATTTTGTTTTCTGTAAATGTTCTCAATATGTTCCCAAGCTTTAGACAAATATTCAGAAAATAAGGGGATCGTTTCCAAGAAGGTAGACAGAATGGGAAAAAAAAACATATCTTTGTCACATCTAGCTACTTTATTGATAAACACATATTGTATGCATTCTCAACCTCCTGGATTTTTAGATCAGTTGTTTTTGATTAAATGAATACAATTATTTTCCAAAGGACTTCAATCTTTGATCTTATATGTCACATAGTATTGATAGTTTGCCACTTTTGACCTACCTACTAATAACATCACCATGTCCTGTAGACATAAAACTTTATGGAATTAATTACCATAAAAACTTTGACAATTCAGCCATTTATTCATAACTTCGAGAGCAATGTTTCTTTTATCTTGAAGGAAGAAATAAAGACTAGAACAGTGCTACCATTTGTTAGAACGCCTCAACCCAATCCAATAAGAAAGAAAGGCACTGATTTACCATAAAATTAGCAGCTTCTGATCCATATTGCAGGGATATATTTTAGACCACCCATTGTTTTCAGAAATGTAAAAATACCTTTATACTAAATTGAGTAAATGTGTCCATCTGTAACCACATTTGCTTGTGTGCACACTCTCTAATTCTCATTTGTACATGCATATGTGCAAAATGTTTTTAAATGATATTTTTAAGAAATTCACATCCTGATTATAACATTCAGGACCCTCTATCTAACAGCATATTCTAAACATTCATTACATGACTAAAATGTTCAGAAAACTCAAAGAAATACACTTAAGTGGAAATCTTGCACATGATAAATTATAGCTTTGTGAGAAAAATAAAGCCACCTTAAAATAATGACTAGGATATTGTTATCATAGATCAACAGTACCTTTCCAATAGAGGGCATCCAGCTCTCTGGTTACAATCAAGTGAAGATTCAGTGAAAACTATGGGCATTACTCCATTTGTGGTAGGAGGGGATAGAGAGGTAGGTGAGCACAAAGTGGATTTATCATTACTCTGTAAAGTTTCTTGGATGATATTATCCATCAAAAAATTAGATATGGCAACAATATTAGGATATTTCTATATGAAGGTGTTTTATCAGAAGAGTGGAGGAAACAGGATTGGTAGAAAAATGGCTCTACCATTCCCTGGGATCCAGTGAACTACTTTCACTTCTTTCCCTATTTGACCATAACATCCTCAAGAGCAACAACACAGAGCCGAGCACGGTGACTAGCATCAGCAAGAGAAGGGACAGAGGGAAGGATGAGGACACTGGGACAGGAGTCTTACCTCTTGCCAAGGAAGATGAAGTTGGCGGGAGGTGGGCAAGAGAGCTGTCACAGTGGTGAGCAGGAACTGTTAGGGACACTGTAGCACCTGTGAACATCCGAGTTAACTAGGATGCAGAGAAAAGTAACAGAGCAGGCAGCTACAAATCAATTGGAAAATGAGTTTAAGAAAACGGGCCAACACAATTATCATCTGTGGTTATGAAAAAGAAGGTGTTGTGCAAAACATAATTATGTAGTGAATTATTTGGGAGGTTATTAATGAAATACACTCATTGGGAAAGATTAACCAGAAGTTGTGTCCGTCATTTGATGCTGAGTGTGTAGCTCTCTCTCTCTGTCTTCTTTCTAAGCCTCCATAAATCCAAGGGAAGCTTCTGTTTATCGATTTTATTTGCAGAATGCACTCAGGGTATAAAGTAATTTGATTTTTTTTAATGGGGTTTAGGGTTTGCCCCTACAGGGTTATAACTTACCAGGCATAAAGGCTAACACATAAATACAAACATGCAGTTTAAAGAGAGAAAGGCTCAAGGCAGTAGAACCTGGGAATCCAGCAAGATGGGGGAGGAAATTACTCCCAGGGGCACCCACTCTCCATATATCTGCTGGACAGAAATCTCCCAGTGGGTGACATTTTGGATGACTTTCATGCACAGCTTGCTGAACTGTTTTGAAAAATGCATCAGCACCACAGAGGAGAGTCCAACAGCTATTTAGCAAATAAGAAGGGGACAGGAGGATTTTCTTTATTGTTTATCAGAGCTAAGACGAATGCTGTTAATGCTAACCATCTTTGCAGTTTGTGTAAAAGTTGTCCTTTTCTCATCAAAGTCAGGAGTGCGGACTGGGCAATGTCAGGGATGTTGTCCCACTCCTCGTGTGTGCAAGCTCTGCTGCTTGCAGGCTGTAAACTGAGCAATAATGCCTTGCGTTTTATACTTCTTTCACAGAGAATTCTTTTGAAATTCTAAGCAACCATGGGTAATTAAACTTTATAGAAAAATTTTTTCTTCGCCACACCATTAGGGTTCCGTTGCGCTTTCCCGTTGCCTCATAAAAGGGAACAAACGCTGCCGCATCTGTGCCTTCACACCTTTGTGCAGATTCTGGGCTCTGAGATTCACGGACACATTCCTGATGAGAAATCTCCACACTTGGAATCACACATGCCTAGCAGGGCGAGCAAGGCAAGCGACAGAATGCCATAGTCGGGGACAGTAATGCACAGAAAGCGAGTGAAGGACTAGCTTTTCCGCCTCGGCGGCAGGTAGATAATGAGTAGCCTCTGTGAGACTTTTTAGTGATTGCATAACCATTACTGTCCCACGAATACAGAAAAGTGTGTACTTAGCTGTGCGGTGTAGTAGCCATGGCTTCAAAGGAGGCAGGATAGCTGTGAACCACTGGGCACACCAGAGGCACACCCAGCAGTCGGGAATGAGAGCCCTTTGAAATGGGGTCTTACAGGCAGGGCATCAAAGAGCGTCCTCAGGACCTGCAAACAGATGCTGCGGCTGCAGACGAAAGGGCGATCTCAGCCTGTTGGGAGTGGGCCAGCGGCAATCTGTTTGGTGACACCTGCACCAATGGGAAAATATCACCAACCATAGCAGTGTCTTTGAACACAGACGCATAGGTAACTCTGGGCATCAGACGCAAAGCCACGCTATGACTCCACTCTGCAAAGCGTTTTGCCGGACCCATCTTATCATTCAAAATGTTCCAGTCCAGAACTCAGAAAGCCTAGTGCTCGAGTGCTGATCCAGGAAGTCTGTGATCATTGCTGGGTTAACGGCCCACATCACATCTTCTGTTAAGCTTCGTGGAGTCGGCACACGTCATGTGGGGCGTGATGTATTGTAAGTGGTTCCTGAAGCTTATGGTGTGCCAAGCACCGAAGAGAAAGCATTGTCTTGTCTAATCCTCGTAAAGGTTCTAGGAGCTAGTTACAATAATGCTTCCCATTTTATAGAATAAATAACGGGGGCTTTGAGGAGATAATTGACATGCCCACAGCTGCCTAGCAAAGAATGGGGTAGAACCAGCACCTCTCTTAACCATTGGCATAAACACTTTAAAATTGCATAAGTCATAAACTAGTATTTTTCCATGAGAAATGTGTTCTGAAAAAGTACTTTCTCCAATTTCACTAGGAGAATGAGATCTTTTAAAAAGTACTAATATATTTTAAACACATTGTTATTTACAAATGAACCCACCTGCTAAATTCCTTTGAAGCTATAGTTTGAAATGTAATTGAACCATCAATTTCTACCATGGGTATTATGGTCTGCGACACATAATTAAAATGTGGAATCAATACATGGCAGAGAACCATGTTAACGTATAAGCTAAGAATGATCAGGCACTTTCCAACAAAAACCTAGAAGTTGAGGTAGTGTAGTGGGCTGGTCCTGGGATCCAAGGAATTACTCAAAGACAGTGTTTCTCAAAGTGTGACTCACCGGCCCATGTGCTTCAGTATTATTCTGGGGGCCTTGGTACAAATATATTCCCTGGATTCAAGTCTGGGAATATGCCTAGATGATTTTATGCATGGCGAAGTATGAGAACTTATGATCTAGAGAACCTAATTTCAGCTTGTGCCAGAGATTGGGGAAATGCTGCAAGGAGCAGTACCACACAAGGCAAAGGGCAACAGTCTCTACAAGTCCCTACAGAGACTAACTCTTCCCGACATGCAGAGACAACCTGAAGCCTTGCAGCAATACAGTATTTATATGTAAGCAGAACTTGCACTTGTGGTCACAGAGGATTCAAGCAGCCCTGGAGGAGTCACTATATGCAAAAATGCCTCTTCAACACAGTTTTCTGAAATGCCATGACTAAAGATGACAACTTTGGGGTGACTTCATTTTCACCAATGTATTTTTCTTTTCCAACTCTTCTTTTTGGCCCTCTTTGAGAATTAAAGAAATTCCACTGGGAGAAATAAACAAAGTTGCTATTACTTTAGTATAAAATTTATTGTCTTTAAAAAGGCAGAGCTGAATGAGATATTACTAATAACTGATGCTCTTAAAACCTTTTTGAATGCATTATGTCATTTTGTTTTTAGTAAAATAAAACAATGTAGTCATTATTCTCTTTGAATTATGCATGTGGAGACTGACATCCTGAGTCTTGCCCAAGACCATGCAGATGATAATCAACAGAACCATTTATTCATTCACTCAACAAATGTATATTTTCTACTGTACGCTAGACACTATTGCAGGTGCTGGGCTAAGTGATGAATAAAGCAGACAAGGTTCTACTCTCAGGGAGCTTACGTTAGAGTCACCAATCCAAGAGGATGCTCGTCAAGGTCACCTGACCAAAAATCCAGGTGATGTCACGCCTTTACAGAAACTCCCTCCCCAGTCATTATGGTCCTGACAGCCTCAGTCTTCTTGGCTCCAACTACTTGTATAATTCAGAGCCATAATGGGACTCTGGGAACCTGTGGGAGAGCATAATGCTGAAAGTAAGGAAGAGACTCGACCAAAAAAGAAAGTGGGTGGAGAAAAATAGTCACAGCCACAAGCACATCACTACTTTTGTAATTCTGTCTTAGCTTTGGCTACCTTGCCCCTGTATAACACGGTCTTTCCTGTTCTTACCTTCCTGTAGCTGCAACATTGGTGTGTTCTCCTGTGGACCCAAAGCTCTCTCAAAGATGCTTCAAAGGATGTGCCGCTTATATTCATCAGCTGATCCCAGGGGTGTCCATTTTTATTACCACAAAGAAAGCTTCTAGACTTCAGAGGAAAAACAAATCCATGTGTTGTGTAAGTGGCTACAAGCGTGTGGCCAGGAGTCAGGAAACTCTTTCTGGAAAGGGCCAAACAGTAATTATTTCAGGTTCTACGGACTGGACCATAAGGTCTCAGTAACGAGTACTGAGCTCTGCCATTGTAATGCACCAAAGGAGCCACAAATAATCCTTCAATGAATGGTCACAGCTGTGTCAATAAAACTTTATTTATGGACACTGAAATTGAATTTCATATAATTTTCTTGTATCACAAAATATTCTTCTTTTGATTTGTTTTCAATGATTCAAAAATGTAAAAGTCATTCTTAGTTCATGGGGTGCCCAAGAATCAGATGGTGGGCCAGATTTGGCCAGCTGGAGGTAGTCTGCTGACTCCTGACATAGGTCATCTTTCCCAAACTTCTTGTCATGCTTAATGGTCCATGCAACAAGGAGACTGGTATGGCTGCTGGGCTCACAGTCCCCTTTAGAAGTAACATGTCAAATTTCTATCATCCCATGGCACAGACATCTTCCCTATATCCAAACCTGATCTTTTCTGCTTCAACTTAAGCTCCTTTGTGCTATTTTTCATCCTCTATAGACTTGATAAATCACCAAAGGGAGTTACCTTTGACAAAAATTCTTTATAAATTTAAAAATGATAAGTCATCCCTTACCTATCCTTTTTCTAATCCAAACAATGTTAAATACTTAACCTTTCAGCCTAGGATATATATTCAATTATTCTTATTGCTCTTCCTCAAATCAGTTTCCATTTCTTCACATCCTTTTAAAATGTGTTGACTACTAAATGAGACATAATGTCTTAGAGAAGCATAACCAGCACTGGACAGGAGAGTGTATTTTTAGATCTTGTATGACCTGTTTTCAATACAACTAAATTCCATGCTTGACTCTCTTCCTTTCATCCCTTCCTACTTCCTTCTCATATTTCTTCCTCAGCCTTTTTAACAAATACTTTTTTACTCTGACATTTTGATTTGTGATCATCTTGATATACCCACCTCAATTTCTGCCACACAAACATAATCGAATTTTTTTAATTTTAATGCACCCACTCTGTGTATTTCCCCATTTAAGTTTGACCCAGCCTTTACAACTAGAAGTATCTGCAATATATATATCTAATCTGTGGCAGGAAAATTAAATGTATTAAAATATTTTCCTTGGTTGTATTCAATTATTACTTTTCTTTTCCTGACCATTGAAAATAAAATGCACCCTTTAGTCATTGAATTCTGTCTAATAAATTCAATGTATATGTGTACTCAATTCTACCAATATAAGGGTATACTTCTCCTTAAAAACAGATTTCAATCTCTGTATGTTTCTCTCAACTTTATTGTAAACCTGAAACTTTTCTTTAAAAAAAGTCTTTTTTAAAATAATAAATTTTGCTGCATTTTTTAAACTTCTGCTTGTATCCCATTCTTAGTTCTGACCTTAGGCCATTTCCCTATGTACCATGGAGAATCTGACATATCTAAGTAGAAAAAGAATACAAAAGTCAGTAGATTTCTTTAATGCAGCATTAATCAAATAGAAAATGTGGATTTTTTTAAATAAATAATCTATTCAAAATAGAAACAAAAATATAGAAAATTGGTAAAGTTGTTTTAGCAGAATTATGTAAGATGATTTGATAGAAGAACAAACAGTTTTAGGGTAGAAATAACATGCTCCTAAATAGGAATATCGAACACTAAAAATACCACTTTGTTCCAAACTAATTCATAGCCTATGCAAAATTCCAAACAAAATTTAAATTCTCTTTAAAATTTTTGAAATGGTAAATATTCTAAAGTTCACCTGAGAGAATCTATGAGGAAGAGAGAAGCAAACATACATGAGGAAGAGAGAAGCATTTATGCCCTCATAAATCTAAAAGAGAAAGATGAAGAAAAAGGAAGAAGAGAGGAGAGGAAAGAAAGAAGAGAAAAAGGAAAGAAAAGAACAGAAAGGAAGGGAAGAAAAAGGAAAAGAAAATTCAGCATCGAGATGCATCATCATCATGAAAAAGAAAACACTAATGTAACCAGAGAGAAAAAGTTAAATTATCTATAAATGAAGAAAAATTAAATCTGACAACTGCTTTCCTAACAGCAGCAGTAGAAACCATATGATAATGAAATAATATTTCAAAATGCTGAAGGAATCTATCAGTTGAGAATTTTGTGCTCAATGAAATATTATTGAAAAGTAAAGGCAAAATACAGATACTTTCAAACAAAAGAAAACTGATACTTATTTCCCTCACTGGAACAATTACAAAAGCATATATTTAAGGAAGGAATTCAATTAATGGTATGCAAGAAGAAGTGATGAGCAGAGAATTTGAAAAACATTTTGTCAAAATCTCAAAACACTAAGGATAAAAGAAAATGAATAATTATTTCAGAAGGAATGTTTTGTAAAGTAAAATTAAAATCCTGGACAATAACAATATGGAAGATGGGAAGACAACCCTGGAATTAAGGCTTTCCAAGGTCCGTATATTGTTCAGGAGGATTAAAGAAATATTGATCATCTTTATAGATAACTCAAAAGGGAAAACTTTATGTAGTTTCTCTGCTCATCACCATTCCTGTAACCCAACTTCTCTCTTCTTGAATTTTTAATTGAGCCTAACTATTAATTTGTTGGATTAATTGTGAAGCAATATGTTTTAAGATGAACTCATGCATATTATATTGCCTGATTGAATTTGTGTTTGAGAATGTCAGTCTGATGCTTTTTCATCCAACTGATAGTTGGCTGAGTATAGTGTTCTTGAAGCATATTCTCTTCCCCTTAGAATTTTGTAGCTATTCCTCCAGTATTTCTCATCATTGAATATCACTGTGGTGAAATACAAGACCAATTTCATTCTTTCCCCTTTATAAATAAATTACCTTTTAATACTTTTTAAATATAAAGTATAAATACGAATATTCAAATTAAGTAGGATAAGCAAAGATTATAAATAACCTCACATCTGTCCTGAACAGGTTATGCTACCAAATGGGTTATCAAAAAGAACCCTCTAAATTTTCTTGGATTTTGGAGTTTCAGTTCAGGGAGAGATTATGGACTTGGAATTCAGCTTTCAGTAATGTCTACTTTATTCCTTACTGTTTACAATTTTTAAATTAGTTCTATAAATATGTTGCTTAGAGCCCTTTTGATCTCATTCTGTTGTTTTATAATTTTGTCTTTTTCTCTCTACTTTATTAAATTAATGTCCTCATTTAGTTCTCCATTACATGAAGCAATATTGAAGAATTACCTGAGTTATAATTTCTGCTGATTGGATTATTTTTTTCTTATTCTACATGGTATTTTCCCTTTCTCCCATAGTACCTCTGCACAGTTGCTAGGTTCTTTTTTTTTTCACCTTGCTCATGTCGGCTGACTGTGCTCAAACATGTTATTGGTTCTCTCGCTCTCTCAATCTCTTTTTTTTTAACTATAACATTATGCTTAATGTAGATATATTTCACATACTATAAAACTAACCCATTTAAAGTATACTATTCAAAAGTTCTTTGTATAGTTACAGTTGTACATTATCACCATTTTAGAGCATTTTTATCATTAAAAAAGAAAACCCATACCAATTAACAGTCACTTCCCATTTCCCCAACCTGCCCCAGCCCTATGCAACCATTAACGTGCTTTCTGTAGATTTGCCTATTCTGAACATTTCATATAAATGAAATCATATAATATGTGGTCTTTTGTGACTGGCTCTTTATTTAGCACGTTTTCCAAGATTCACGCATGTTGTAGCATTGATCAGCACCTCATTTCTTTATTTTTACCAGACAATATTTGATTACATACAATATTGGATTGTTTCTACCTTTGGGGACTATTACAAACAATGCTGCTATGAACATTTACCTACAAGTTTTTCTGTGGACCATGTTTTCTCTTCTAAAGCTGATGTTTAGCCTGGGCATTTCATGTTTCATCCACTTTTCCATGGTCTGAAAGAACTGCAGCTGGGGTGGAGTGGTATACCAGAGAGAGAGGAGGTCAGCTTGGGTGGTGTGCAGACTGTTAGATATCCTGAGCTCCATTTTACCCTCTGAGATAATATTGACTATCCTGTATTGTGGTTGACTCTAACTAACTGGATGTGCAAGGGACAATATAATGCATTTTCATGAGGAGATACTCCCAGATTTTGACTCTTTTCCCTCAATTAAATGTGAACTTAGATCTTTGTCTTCCAACAAGGAAAGTCATCTGTATGGGTTTCTTTCCCTATTCATTCATAGCTTCCCAGTAGAAGAGGAAAATGATAAAAATACTCTCTCTCTCTTCACTTCTTTCCAAAAGCCATAGTATTAGTGAAATTTCTCAGGACTTCTTTGACTTATGAATGGGGCTTCAGAGGGGTAGGGTGAGGTAGAAGTCATTCTGCTGGCCTCCATTTTGCTCCATAATCGTCTGCTCTTTTTTTGTATACAAGTTTTTAAATTTTATTAGATTTGTCCTTTATCATGTCTACTGGTGAATGAGTGTGTTCATTGCAATATCAATCAGCTCTCCATAGGCAAATGTCCACGACATTCTCCAGCAATGATTCCATGGCTTCAAACACCACCTGCTTCCTGATGAGTACCAGAGTCGAAACTCCAGCACAGACTTCTCCTCCAGGTTCCAATCTAGTGCATCCAGCTACCCAGCCCACCACTGGAAGTAGAATCGGCTTGTCAAATTTGATGTATTCCACATCCAAACTCTTTATTTTTTTTCCTCATAAGGCGACTTTTCCTCCAATTTTTGTTATTTCACTTAATGACATCGTCATGTACAAAAAATGCCTAAGCTCAAAACACAAAAGACCTGTGAGTCACCTTTAACTTGTCTTCTCTCCCCAGCATGCCCTCAACCCCTATCCCAAACTGCTGTCTCATCATCTTATTTCTCACTCATTTCAGGAAAGCACAAGTTGTTTCATGTCCTCCACTATGGAAGGTCGTTTCCAAGTTGACACCATTGCTTATGTATATTCCAGCTTCAGGTGACCTGTCCATACTTAGAGGCAAAGCTGGCCCACACTTCTGGCACAGGTACAGCCCTACTCATTGGGTTAGCTGGTTTCCCTTCTCTACAAGTTGATGGCATCTAGGTGTGCATGTTTTTATCTATATAGGTTGCTTCATTACCAAATAATTTCTCTTCTTAGACATCTACCAGCCATTATCATGCTGGGAATTTTTTCTGTCTTTTTTTACTTTCCTTCAATTCTTGAATTGTTAAATCAGTTTTCACCAGAATATCTTCGGCCTCTATATTACTCTTTCCCAGTTACCCCCTCAGACTGAACAGAAGAAAAGTTGCTTAAAGAAGTATTTATCAGTTCCAACCACTGCCAGATTATTATAAAAATTCCTGATTGGTCTGAAAGATAACTCAATAACGATCCAGTCTCGATTTACTGGTTTAATTAAGAATCCCCTAAGGAAAGGACCATCACTATTACATTTTTTATATGGTGATCTTATGCCACACCCTACAAATTTCCAGCCAACTTACCTCAGAACTCAAGTTTATTTTTTTTAAAGTTTAGAAGTGTAAGAACACATCAAACAATGTAAGGTGTGAAGAAATAATTCAAACAAAATATATGAAACCTTTACAAATCATTTTTTAAAAACCTGTCACCATATCTACCCTGCGCTAACACACACAGAGGTGTTACTCTATCACTGCACCCAGAGACCATGGGGTGCAAACCTGCCAACCATTCCAGCCCCAAGTTAAACAAATACCTAGAGGAAAGTGGGGAGGAATAGGGGGAGAGGGGGGAGGGGTCATATTTCAGACAGAAGAGAAATCTGTGCATGGAGTCCTGGGAAAATTCCCAAGAGGTCAGTATATGAAATCAACTGGAATCAATGTAGCAAATGATTTGAAAATTGAACTCTGGAGAGGAATACAACTCAGAGTTCAGAGTGGCCGCTGGGTCACACATGTATAGTTACAAAGACTTTGAAAATTAAAGTGATATTGGAACCGCAGACCATAAAAGTGGGCCAGGATGTGTGTTCTGAACCTAAGCCTGTTAACTGCCAGCTAAAATAAAAGCTCTAAATAAGAACCAGAGTGTTATAACATTATACTTAAAATGTACAGGACTCAATCCAAAATTTTTGTCATACAAAGAGCTAGGAAAATCTCAACTCAAATGAGAAGAGAAAATCAACAGATGCCAACACCAAGATGATAAAATGTTGGAATTATCTAACAAGAATTTAAAGCAGCTACCATAAAAACGTTCCAACAAGCAACTGCAATCACTTGTGAAATAAATGGAAAAATAGACGGTCTTAGCAAAGAAATGGAAGATATAAAAAGAACCAAATGCAAGTTTTAAAACTTAAAAATACATTAACTGAAAGAAAAAACTCACTAGATAGGCTTGTGGTAGGTAGCATGTTGCCCCAAAGATGTTCACATCCTAATTCCTGGAACCTGTGAATACGTGAAGTGATTTGGCAAAAGGGAATTAACGTTCCAGATGAAATGAGATTATCCTAGATTGTCCGGCTGGCACCAATGTTATCACAAGCGTCTTTAGAAGTGGAAGAGGCAGGCAGAAGAGCCAGGAAGAGTCAGAGAAGACATAACACCCAAAGCAGAGGTAGGAACAGGGCAGCTGATGGTTTTGAAGAGGGAAGGTGCCCCAAGTCAAGAAGGCAGGCAGCCTACAGCAGCTGGGGAAGGCCACAGAGACCCAGGTGCTCAGCCTCTCCCCTGCTAACATGCGCACATGCTCACGTGTCCCAATCACTTTGGGATTCAGAAGTTTAGGACGATGCAGCAAGACGCTCTAGTTCACAAAGATGTCTTTTCTGATGCTCAGTGTCTTTGGCCACAGTCACTATATTGAGTTCTAGGAACTTCCACTCTGCTTCTGTTCATTTATTTTTTTCAGACTTTGGAATTAAGTGCCAGAGTATGGTAGTAACACAGTATAGGAAGGAAATATGAGGACGTGTCTGGCATGAACTTCCCAAACTACAGCTTACTGGGGACAGCGAGGCAGGCCCATCCCAGGTTCAAAAGCAACTAGGCAGGCAAGACAAAGGGTAGTGCCTGAAGAAGAACTGGGGGTCAGGCAGCAGTGAACATTAAGACTCCCAAGAAGAGACAGACACGTCCCAGGAATGAAATCCTGGGGTAGCAGAAATCCTGGGTGGGCAGCATATTGGATTCAGAATGGCAAGCAAGTTTTATTAATAGGAAACTTCACACCCAATAATCAGGGTGTTAGCTACAGGGTAGGATATCAGAGGCAGAGATCCCTGGACTCGCCTGAGGACAGTTAGGTAGCAGGAAGTACAACAGAGCTCAGTTCTTAGAAGCAGAGCACACACAGGAGCCCAGGGATATCACAGGGCTCCGGGGTCTGAAAGCTGGCATATGAAATTCCATGCGATGAAGCGATGGTGCTGTTTGAATACTGCCTGTCTGTTGTGTGAATCAGTGCAGGAACCCGGGTAGAGCTCAGGCTTGCGATGAACGGGAAGACCTGGCCCAGCTCCTGTGATCTGGGGAAGGTCACAGGAAATAAAAGGAGACGGCATTGCTGCTCCTCTGATGCTTATATGTATCTATCTCCTGCCCCTCCCTCCTGTCCCCCCAACTCCCCCCGCCCTCGGCTCACAGCATTAATTAATTATTTGTACTAACATCTGTGGCACACTTTTCAGATTCATGGCTGGTACAAAGAAAGCGTCACAAAATCAAGTTATGTTATTGTATTTTTTAAATGGTGCATCTTTGTTTGAAAATTGCCTAAGTTTTTGAAATGTCTCCCCATCCGGCATGATTAATGTGATACATACTGTGGAGCAGCCGAGTGAGTGGAGAATCAGTCGGTGCCACTTCACCTAGAGGCATTTATCTTTGCTTTTTTCCCTCCTGTCTCTGCTGAGCCTGAGGGTAAGCTGACACTTTTTTTTTTCTTTTTTAACAAATTAAGCTTCATTTTCTTCTTCGCGTGTGTGTTAGGAACCTTGAAGGCAATGAGCAATGTCTGCAGCCTCCAATACCAGCTGCCATGGCAGGCAAGAAAGAGGTGACAATTTCCCGCAGATTCAGAATGATTGTTTTAATGGGGCTGTGGCGGAGGTAACGAGCACAAAGATATCGTGCTGCCAGGAAAAAGCAGGCTCTCTCTTCGCCTAGCCTCGCATTACATGATGTAACATTTAGCTTCTGGCTCAACGTGGCATCTCTTCCCTGCTCTGATTTATTTCCACTTTTGCAAATCACAGAGGTATGTTACAGGAGATGCATTTAGAGCTGTTGTTATATTCATTGAGGAGCGAGGCTGTTATCCCCACCAGAGGAAAATCTCACACGTCTCAGGGTGAGTGACCTAGAATAAAAGGAAAGAAAGAAAAAAGGAGAGAGAGGGAGCAGGAATGTAGATGTTATGCTGGGATGAAATTGTATTTACCTTGATTGAAAACTCTTTTATTATGAACATAATTTAGATCAGAATGGAAAATAGAGCCACTGGGCTCCTTGCCTGGCTGGGAGTGCTGCTGAGTACACAGCCGCTACGATAATGTAAGTGCATATGTGATGACTGTGTTATTGTGTTTATATATGAAAGCATTATGCTCCATCCAAGGAAATGAAAAATATCTTCATAGGTCTGCTCACTCAGCTTCTTTAGTAGAAAATGCTTGGAGGAGTAGAACAGTAACAGGGGCCAAAATACAGAGTATCGAAGAACTTTGCAGGCTTATGTGGAAGTCATAGATTCATCTGAAACATCTGACCAGACCCTGGCATCCTCAGAATAGTTCATGTTGGGGCCTGGATTGTGATTCTGGCGTAAGCGGTCCCTGAGCATGAATCATGCCCACAGCCGCTGGGTTGAGCAAAATATTTCTTAAGACAAATGGTGTTGTCTGCAAGGAGCTTACAGTTGAACTGGGCAGGCAAAGCAAATACACATAGATCATTTGAAAGGCAGGTGGGGAGGGAAGGGAATTTTGTATGAGCTGCTGAAATGATCCAAATTCTATGAAAAATATTCTAGGAATTTAGCCACTCTTTTTCTTGCCATGAGGGCACAGCCGCCCAGAGGCTCCAGTGTGAGTGCGGGTCTCAGTCTCAGGTCCCTGCCTAAGCTGCTAAAGCTGTTGCTGCTAGAACCTGAGTCTCAATAACCAAGATTTTTGCTTCATTTTGGCTTTTTTTCTTTTGATCACAATGCAGGCTCTGGACCAGAGAAGAGTCTGCATGACAGGTGTGGTGCTCGACTCAGAAACACAGCTATGAAGACACTGGCAGGCAAGCTGTGCTGTGGCGGAGTGAGGGATGAAGGAGGAAGGCTTCTTCCCCATGAAGGGGTGGCAGTGAGAGGGCGCCCTTGGAAGTGCTTGGCCTCCTCACTAGCTCTTCCCTAAGGGGGCACCGCTCCATCTTATTGGCCAGTTTGGGAGCAAGCACAGGGCCGCTGCCGGTATTCCTCAGCCTCTGCCTGTACAGCACACGTGATGAGCTGGGCTCTCCACATGCCACAGCTTGATGGTGAAGGCTCGATGCCTTCTAGGCAGCCTACTGTGGTCTGGGGGATAAGTTTATACGATTCTGAGATTCAAGATGGAAGCCCACATCACCACTCCTAAGCCATGCTCTCTAGCATCATAATAAAATTGGCATTTTCCTCTCCATCTCCTTCATTCCCTCTTCTCTGTTTTCAAATTCAGATGCAAGAAAAAGGGAATATCTGTGTCCCTCTCCTAGAATCCCAATTTCCTGGACCAAACATATGAGCCTCTAGTTTTTCTATTGAGATCACTTATTTCCCAAATCTTTCCTATAAGCAGATTTGCATTCTGCCCTATGAGTCATGCAGAAAGACCCCCAAATGCCAGAGGTTTAGGAAAATAAAACTGATTTGTGATTTCTGTTCCATCTGCTTCAATAAGCTCATTAGATGAGATTGAACACATTGGCCATAAGTGTAACTTACCTGGGCCAATGAGTTATTTATGAGTCTCATATGTAAGACTTTCAAGTTGGAGAACGTTCTGAGTGATGCTGAGTGAAATGTAAACTTGCCCCCAGCTCTTCTAGGTATTCTAATTTTTCAGATTGAAAAGAAACAGAACAAAGCTCCATACATTACAAGGATGGAATTAGTATCTCCTTTAATAATTAATTATTTCCCATGTTTGGGAAAACGCTCAAGTCAGTTTTGCAGGTGTAGTGTCTGTGGCCTGCTGGAAGCCCTGCCCATAACCATCTTGACCTCATTCTTGTGTAACAATTTCAACAATCAGGAGATTTATTTCCTAGGGGGCCACATCACTAAATTGGCAAGGTAAAACAATTGAGACAGTGGATTTTGATGAGAGCACAAAACACCTACATGTAAGCCAAATAAAGGCATTTATTTTTTAAATTAACTGTGGTAAAATGCGCATAAGATTCACCATCTTAACCATTTTTAACAGTGACATTCAGTGGCACTGAGTACATTGACGTTGTTGTGCCACCATCGCCACCATCCACCCTAGAACTATTCCATCTTGCAAAGCTGCAACTCTGTACCTCTTAAACAACAACTCCCCATTTCCCCCAACCAATTCCCCCCAAAGGTGAATGCCTGTCCACCACCATTTCACATTTTATTTTTATGAATTTGATTATTCTAGGTACCTCATATAGGTGGCATCATATGGTGTTCATCTTTTGGTGGCTAAAGATAATTCCTTTAAATGGCTTCTTTTATATCCTCTACCTGTCACTCATGTTTGCCTTGCCCCGGGCTTGTCTGCCTGATAACCCACACAGCAATTGCTCTCACACATAAGCAAGGCTATTTTATATTCAGAAAACCTCATCTTTCCACTTGACTTTTGTATCTAGTGGTCAACACATCCAATAAATCCCCCATGCCATAGCCTTTTTTCTTTGCCTAAGTTAAATTCATAAGGTCAAAATACTCTGAGATTGGCCTGGTGCAAAGCTTTCCCTCTGTACCAATCTCTGGAAGCCTCCCAAACATGAAATCAGCCTGCACTGCAGGCAATGGACACCAAAAGAGGAGCCAAAGCCAGGCTCAGAGAGCCAAAGTAAGCTTTCAGGAGTCTCAAGGCAAGGCCATCCAAAAAAGATGAATGTCAACAGGCACCATCACAGATGAAGAAGTCAAAGCTGAAGCAAGGCCCACTGTACATTTCCAAAAGTATCTGGTGTATGAGACATAATAGGAAAATACTCTATATTCTCCATTTTTATTGTTTAATATTAATACACTATTAAAATCAGATTTCTTAACTCATTCCCACCAACAGAGAGATTCCAAATCCAAAATTCAAATGTAGTCTTGCTTACATGTTATATTTTTTCTTCTATGGAAACATCTTACTTTATTTTAAAAGCAATAACAACGACTTTGGTCTGAAGACCCAGAGGAAAGAAAAATCTTTTGCTCTGCATACTTGTCACTCTTCTGAAAATGATGTTGGGAATAAAAGTCAAGACTAGTGTGAACTTTGAACCTGAAGCAGCACACACTGGACATCATGAAACCATCATTAGAAATCATGTTCAGGAACCAGTTATAAATGCATTTCTCAAACTGAAGCTACTATCAGTAAAACTTGGTAATGAATTCTGGCCCCTTTTTCTCATGTGGGAAGCATCTGCCTTTCTGTGCCTCGGGTTCTCCATGTGCATAGCCAAGGCAGTCATCATTTTAAAGGTTCTGTGAGGTCCTGACACACATAGCCATTTTCATCATCACTGAAAAAAAAAAATTAAAGGATTAAGCAATTAAAATTGATGACTTCACTTCACATGAATGTGTCATGGTCCTGGAAATCGCATATCCATATGCCAGTTACCATATTGCTTGGGCACATCATGGTTCATAAAACACAGTCTGCTATAGAGCCTCAGAATGTTGAAGATAGAAAGAGGTTTGCCACCAACTACATAAATGCTTTGTTTTTCAGTTAAGCAAAGGGAGGTCCGGACTGGTTTAGCTCATTTAGTTAAGGTCATGCAGCTAGAATAAAAACTCATCTCTTGATTTGATGTCAGTGCTGTTTTCATCACACCAAATAAAAATATCTAAGTAGTGAGAAAAACAATTGATCTTTCTTTGGAATCCAACTCCTAAGAGATTCCTAGTCACCCTGTCCTGACTAAACTTCTCCAAGATAAGCAATGGTGCTGAATAAAGGGAAGCGAGCTTCTTTAGTAAATTAGATAACTGGCTCATAAGATTGTGTTGGCCACGACCCATGTACTGAACTGCCTATAGTTACATCTATAGTGACCTTCATAAAACAGGCTGTGAATGTTGGGGAGGATAAATGGTTAACAATTATAGGGACTCAGTTTGAATCATGCCTGGGTCAAATTTAAGTGACTAGGCAAGCAACTACAGTCCAGGCTTCCAAGTAATGTAGACTCTGAAGATTTTCAAAGATAAGCAGATTCCCAGACTCTGAATATGTAGATAAGATCATGTTACAGGAAGAGATTAATAAATTCACCATGAATGAGGATATCTTTTGGATAAGTAGATTCTATATAGAAAAAAAGTAGGCTACAATCTAAGGTTAAATGGCATATTTTTTCAAGTTTAAGGATATTTTTCAAGTTTCAGAAAGTTTAAAATTAAGACATGGGGAGGAAAATGAATAAAAACATAACATCCAAGTTGTCCAACATTCAAATAAAGCAATCAGAGAGGAATGGAGAACATATTTGAGAAAATAAGAATAATAAAATAAAGGATGTCCTAATCTAAGAACGAATGGGTGGCAGAAGTGGTGAAAGAGAGACCCAGTCTGCATAACTGCTTCAAATAAACATTACAGACTCCCTAGACCAAATGGCCAGATGGGACTACTTGGCAACAAATGAGAACTATGATATAATTAGCACATAAGGAACTAGATAGCCTCTTGCTGCCAAACAAAAACTGTACAGGAAGAATATGGTATAGGCACACAAGAGGGGATGTGGTTTTGTATTTTAGGACACCTTAAACAAAAACAAGTTTCAGAACTTTATGGGAAAAGGAAATAGAATCACTGAGGGTAGAAATATCTATTATTCTTATATAAATATCTAGATATTATTAAATATCTATATCAGGCATTGGCAGATTACAGCCTACAGGCCAAATCCAGCCCACAGCCTATTTCTGCATAGCTTGCAAGTTAAGTGAGATGTAAGAAGAAACTGTTTAAAAAGACATCATTTTCAAAATAAATGTGGCAAACTTGGGTGCAAGCACTAGGCACAGACAGGTCAGCCCCAGCTTGTACAGAACACATTATCTGGTGTGCTTGCCACATGTCAAAGCTTAATATCGGAGGCTTTAGGCCTACAGAAAAATATAAGGAACATTATATATAATAGAAAAGATGCAAATTAAAAAAGAATTCAGGGGCATTTCTGAGCGACCAACCACAGTATCAAGATCTCTGTTAGAAATATGGGAGGCAGAAAGACAGCAAGAGAATCAATGAGACCAATTGATTGATGATCACAATATAAAAAGTCCATGCAGGTCTGAAAAGGAGTTAGTAGAATGAATCAGTTTATAAAGGAAGGCATTAGTGACATTTTCACTCCTAAATTAACTTTTGAAGCGTATCAGTCATAGGTACAAAATCAAATAGCAATAAATGAACTCGATGTTCTTGGCTGAATCAATAATGCATTTTGTCACAATTTTCTTTCCCAAACTTGAGTAATCACTGGAAGTAAATGGCCTCTATTCAAGAGTTTAGAGAAACTCAAGGGTGAAATTTTGGGTCCATTGAAACTTATGTAGACAGGTCAATTTAATGGAGGACTGGAAAACTGCTAATGTAACAGGCATTCATGAATAAGGACCAAAGAATATGATTCCCTGTACATTTAAGAATAAGATCATTTTAATCTTATAAGAAAGGCAAAAGAGCATCTGAAAGGGAGATTAGACCATCCTAATATTTTTAAGGAAGGATGTGAAAGAGAATACAGTAGATGTCTTCTATTTAAATGCTCAGTAAGACTGGACTAAGATTCCATGAAAAATTTTGCATATTTTATAATATTTCTTATTGTAAAAGCAATATATGTTCTTTATAGAAAATGCAGAAATACAGAGAAGCAAATTGAGTAAAATTAAAAACATTCACAATCCAGCTAGCCAGAAATGCCCAGTGTTAATATTTTGCCATATATTATTTGGGACCAAACATGGAATTTAATTAGTTGCTTTATCTTGAAAGAGAACTTCCACTGGCTCCAAAAAGAGGAGAGAAGGGCAAGGATAAATATTTAAAAAATTGTTCCAACTCACAAATGGATGCTACAATGTAACAAGAGACTGTTTACAATAAAATCCGCAGGTTTGCACATGACACTAAGTTCTTTTTAATAATGAAATATTATGCCATTTATGCAGAGGAAACTGTGAAAATTTCACAAGACTGCATATGGGAGCAGAAAACTGGCAGATGAAATTCCTTATAGGCAAGAATAAGATTCAGGGAATACATTCAGGGAACTATAAGACCAATTATCCTGGAAAAATGATCGATTCTGAAGTTTCAGTCACCTTCTAGGACATGGACCATGCCATCATTATGGACTATATCTTGAAGACAATGTA